CGAAATAAATGCACAAAATTAATTTATTGGTTATAATAAATGGGTGCAATCCTCTGTCGTTTGCTCTATTACAAAAGAAAAAATCCTCTGATTCGATCTCTGACATGGGCAATCCAATGGTTGTAGAAGCTTGTTATTGAATTGAACAAGTTGATGTATTTCTTCAAGTCTTCGAGTGGAGAAACTTGGAGAAGAAAGGCTTGATCGAGGCTTGAACGGCTATCTCGAACAAGTCTTGAAATGATCTCCTTGAAAAGAAAAACCAAATTTGTGTTGTAACTTGAAAGGATTGACACAAGTTTGGAGTGCTTGATAATCCTTCTGTTTTGAGTTTGAGGAATTTTAGAGAATTTTAAGAAGAGAATTTGGAAGAGTCTTGAGATCTTTAGGAGCTAGCAAGACCATTAGCCAAAAATGTGTCCCTTCTCCTTTAATGAGAGCCTCTATTTATAGGCTTAGGAGGGGAGGATTAATTTTGAAAACTCCAAAATTGATCCCAATTTCCAAGAAACAAACAATTAACTTCTTGACTTATGGACATGATTTGCATTTAAATTTAAATTTAAATTTGAATTATTCCACTAAATTTTGATAAAAATATCTTCATGGGTCCACACTTTTGGTTGACCCAATTGTCAAAATAATTTCTTTTGGTGTGACGCATAATTTAAAATGGGTTAAATCCATAATTTTAGTAAGACCTATACCCATTTGAAAATTTTGACCAATCAAAGAAAATTTATTTGGCTCGATTAATCAGACGGTGATCAAGACACGTGACAATTTAAGTGTCTACAACAGCTTATGGCCCCCAATGCTGTAAAGAGAAACTGCAATCCACCCAAGAACATGAACATATCGAAGCTCAAAGTCCTCTATTTCTATTCCCACCAAACCACTCCTCTCACACTCCCCCCATCAAAAACCACCAATCTCTCATTGGAAATTGCCATACCCTAACGAAAAACCACCACGACTCTCTCTTTCTAAACCATGGCCAATCCTGTCTTCATACCTCCCATGGTCTTTCAACCCCAATGTTCTCTTCAGTTCTTGTGAATCCTACTTCAACTACGGCTTCACTCGTTGGATTGATCTCCTCAAATCGTATAAGATATGAGATCTATGAGGTGAGAGATCTGAGATCTGAGTGAGAAAGATAGATATATAGTGTGGTTAGTGGCGGTGAATAACGGAAGACAAGTATTAATCACTGCTGTAAGTCACAAGTATCATTGCTGCTACGGAAGAATGAATAGGGTACTCTCTGAGAGGTCTCTCTCAAGGTTACCGGAGATCCAAGCATCAGAAGAGTCATCAATGATCTCTTTCTTTGAACCGTCCATGAACCATATGGCGGATGCTCTAGTAAGCCACGGTGGCGGTGGTCGCCATGACACCAGAGGCGGTGTGGACCAGCGGGTGGTGTCCAGGTCGGTTGCCGTCGAGAGTGGTCAAGCAGTAGAGGCGGTGGTAGAGTTGTAGAGAGGCGTTGTGGAGAGAGAGAAGAAGAGAAAGTAACTACGATTTCGATATGAAAACAAAGTATATATGTAGATTGGTCATGAATCAAGATCCTCTCCTTACTCTCTCTGCTTGACTTCCTACTTGCTAGGTTACTGGGCCCACTTTGGGCCTAATGTCAATAATCCAAAATGTTTACATTTTAAGATTTGTTGAGTATATTATATAATATAAAAAATCAAGCTGATCGAATATCAAAAACTACGTGTTCTGATCATCGAACTAAAAACCATTTTTTAAAAAAATATTAATAAACAGTTTTCCGAACACATGCTTCCTGATATCCGATAACTACTTGATTTTTTACAGGTATGGTATACTCAACAAATCTTAAAATGTGAATGGTTCGGATTATCAAAATTGGGCCCAAAAATGGGCCTAATGGCCAGCAAATAAGAAGGTAAGGAGAGAAATCAAGGAAAGGATCTTGATTCGATTGATCATTGCGTAAAAACATGTTCTTATGAACAACATAATTATGAGCGTGGATCTTTAAGCAATAATAATTCAAAATTAAACTTTTAGCATTAAGGTAAATAATAAATTTTATAAATATTAGTTATTAAAATCATAATTTTTTTCATGAATTTGTAATAATATCTTAGAAGTACCACTATTTGTTAATTTCCCATTATTTGGATCCTCTTTCCAAATCCAAACATTCACAGGACGACGATGTCTTTTTGCTTCATTGGATGAAATCTCCCAAAAGATGTTGTTTGTTTAAATGGAAGACTATTTAATGGTCGGTGGTGTTACACGCATCAATTAATATACTACTAACATAGTTAAGATAATATTATTTTAAAATTATAATCTTAGCCATTATATAAATTACAAATATTTAAAATTTCTAAAATTATGTCATATCATCCGTTAGTACATACACTAATTAATATACCAATAAGTACATATAGCATTATTCTTTAACGACAATCTGTCCCATTTGTCCCAAATTTCACTCCACACCGATTTAGCCCTAAAGAACTCATTGTATCGATGTCACCCAATCCTAAGAAGGAAGCTTAATGAGTTGCTCATCAACAATTCATTAATTTTGGAGCCGAAGTTCAGAATCTCAACCTTAGAGCCAGCCAGATATTAACAATAAAATTTTCTTGTGATAAATCTCTACATGTTTGAAAATTATCATTTGGTTTTCCCAATTTCCGGCTTTATCGTCAAAAGCTTTGATATTTAAATCTTTTATATAGATGGGTAATTTATTTAAATAAATGGTATCCAGATTTTTGCAATCATAGATATTATTTGCAAATTGCATGCCTCATGGTTAGAATGTGAAAAGAGCTCTGAGATAACAAACCAACTCAACTAATGCTTTGTCCACAACCTATATACAAATTTTTTAATCAAAAGAAAATTTCAAATCTTAAAAAAAAAAAAAAAAAAAAAAAAACATAAAAAAAAAAGAGTAACTAAATTACAAATAAAAATACAAATTTGTAGCCAAAAGACACCCCTGCTCCACCAAACTATATCTTTGTCACTGAATGCTTAGCACCCATATATCTAAGTTGTCACTCATTGTGTCTAGTTTAACAAATTTGCAGTATATCATTTGATTAAATTTATGATGTTGTTTGTAATAGAAAAAGTGAATCAAGCTTGTCATGGACTCTCCCTAACATGTTAATCTCTTTCTCTCTCAACCCTATTTTTTTTAGCGCTTCAATCATAAATCGTTGTTTCCTTCCCCATCAACCACCGCCTCTCTTCCTATTAACCAAATCTCAAATCACCATCAAAACCAGAATCACCAACCCAAGCTCACCACCACCAACATCAAATTTTAACCATTTTGGTAATTTATACGTAATTATTCAATGAAAAACTGCATCCCGGCAACATTGCTTTTTCAAATCAACATAAAGAAATCAAACATTTTTTGGTGCCCCAAGGTTTATATTCAATAAAAACAAAACAAAACAAAACAAAATAAATAAGACGACAATAAAGAGAGAAGCCACACCATACATATGTGTGTGGTTCGGCTACTACCATACACACGACACACAAAAACCCCAAGGCTGCATCTCTCTTTTTATTGATTTTCACTGTTTAATATTTATTCTTACAATAAAACCCCCTATGTAAAAAGTATATTTCATTCGGTAATAGAGAGGATTGGGTTTTATCTAATATCTAACATATCCTTACTAAACAAAATAGCTTTGCACTACCAGTGCACAAGTCTATGAGGCTCGAGTTTTGTAAAGTGCACAAAATTAGTGCGTGGAAAAATATGCAAAACAGAAAGGGATCAATTTTGTGCATTTTCATGGGCAGTAATTCTGTGCACACAGGTGAGGCTCTACGGAATTTTTCGAGCGAATAACGATTGAGAAGCAATGTGCATGGTTGGCCTAGATTGTGAATGGACATGCAAACATGCAATTGCCAATTTTACATTATGCATCACTACCTCCTCAACGTTAGGAGAGGGGGAGAAAGGCATTGGTCCAACACATCCTTTAACTATATCTTCTCAACAGCTGGGGTTAACAGGGAGGTGATGAAGTCTCTTGGATGATTCCCTTTGATCACTTCCAGTGCCAACATACCAAAGCTATAAACATCGCACTTTGCAGTTACCTTCATTGTGTAAGAAAGCTTTGCAAAAAAAAGATAGACATGATCATGCACTTGTTTTGTTACACTTCATATTCTATATCAATTTAGGAGAGCCTAAAACTATGTTTACCTGGTGCAACATATCCATATGTGCCTGCAAATGTACTCCAGTTAGAGGAATCTAGCTTCAAAAGCTTGGCAGTGCCAAAGTCCGAAACATGAGCCTCGTACTCCTCATCAATCAAAACACTGTTGCTAAAAATATCTCGGTGAACAATGGGCGGTGTGCAATCATGGTGTATGTATAACAAAGAGCTTGCCACACCGTTAATAATATTCACCCTCTTAGGCCAATCCAATTTTTTAGCTTCTTTGTCTTTGTTGGAAATTGTAGCCAAACTACCTCTTTCAAGGTACTCAGAGCATGCGAACGAAGCCCAAAAAGCTTCACTATGTTTTCATGCTTAATTTCTATCAATGCTCTTACCTCGTTTAAAAAATCTTTCCGATCAAGCCTCTTAGATAATGGATGAAGTTTCTTCACAGCTACTATATTAACTGACTGTAACTTCATTTTGTAGACAGTTCCATATCCTCATTTTCTAATTCGATATATGGCATCAAAATCCTTGGTAGCTTTTACAATGTTATTGTACATTTCTCTTCCATCGAATATTGATATCGATAAAAAATCTTCACTCGAGGGTTGGGTGTCACCCTCTTCAACTTGTGACTTTCTCTTTCTTGGATTGAAAACAATGAGAAGTCTGATGAATCCACCGAGAAGTAAGAGTGCTCCACCAAGAGAGAGCACAATTATAAGAACAAGTGTCCTTTTTTTTTTCTAGAGTGTGTGTGTACAATGCAGAAGGAATTTTGCAAGGCTACAAGCTTGTGACATTTCCACACAGATCTTTGTTCCCTTGCAGTGCTTCTATTGATGCATTCATGAAAGCGTTGCTCATGGGAATAGGACCTTGTAACTCATTGTATGATATATCAACATACGCCATGCCACGCATATCTTCAAAACTCTTTGGAATGAGACCAGAGAGTTTATTGTGGGAGAGGTTCAATTTCTCCAGGCTCTACAAATTTGTGATTTCCAATGGTATTTCCCCTATGAGTGGTTAGTTGAAAAAACTTACCAATCTGTAATGGAATTTTTTGGTTGAACATGTTGTTGCTCAAGTTCAAGTAAAACAGATTTCGATAGTTCTCCAAAATACCTGGTATTGGCCTACTGAATTTGTTTGTGGATAGATCAAGTTTCGACAACTTAGTTAGTGATCTGAGTTCTTGAGGTATCCAGCCCGAAAGTTGATTAGCAGTCAAAGTTAGCCACTCAAAAGATGTCAACTTTCCAAATTCCTTTGGGATCTCCCCAACTAAACGATTTGAAGATAAATCAAGTCGTTCTAGCCGTGTTGACTTTTCAAACCTTGGTGGAATGCTACTAGTGATGTTATTTCTTGTTATTTTTAGGAGTGTCAAATTTGGGAATATTTCCCAATTTTCTTAGTAATTGCCTTAAAAATTATTGTTACTCAGATCTAGGTAGACTTAGGTTTGGATTAGTGCCAAAATCTTCAAATATATTTCCAGTGAGTTGGTTTACCTCAAAGCGGGCTGTGGCTAAGCTCAAGCAGTTTCTCAGACTTTTAGGGATTTTACCTGTGAGCTGATTGTGGTGTATTGCGAAGTATTGAAGTTTACCACCTTGGCAAAGCTCTGGGAGATTCCCAGAAAATTGACTTTCATCCATTAATAGCTCAATCAATTTTTTCAAATTGCCAAATTCCTGTGGAATGCGGCTGGATAGTCGGTTGGAACTGAGGTTTAGAATTTCTAAATTGGTAAAATCACCTAAAGAAGCTGGAATGGGACCATTAAGTTGATTCAAACTCAATTCCAAATATATGAGGGACTTCAAGTTCCCTAATTCCTTAGGAATTGGATCAGAGAGTTGATTATTCCAGAGGTATAGTCAGGCTAGAGAGCTCAAATCACCTAAAGATGTTGGGATTGAGCCAGTAAGATTGTTGGTCTGAAAGGTTAGGCCTTGTAGTGATTTTAACTGTCCTATCCCTTGGGGAATGGAACCAGATTGGGAATTGTTGAACGATTGCAACATAATTAGGTTACTCAAGTTTCCCAATGTGGAAGGAATAGTCCTTGGGAGATTGTTGCCATCCATGTAGAGCTCAACAAGATTGACTAGGTTTCCCATTTCGGGAGGAATAAAACCAGAAAGATCATTTCCGTAGAGATATAGACGAGTCAAGTTTCTCAAATTGGTTAAAGAAGTAGGAATGGGACTGGAAAGACTATTGGTGTACAAAGCAAGCTCAATTAGAGACTTTAACTGGCCTATCTCTGGAGGAATTGAGCCATTTAAGTTATTATTGAACAAGTGGAGAGTTTCAAGATTTGTTAGCAGGCCGATTTTTGGTTGGATGCTTCCTGAGAACTGGTTGGTGGACAAATCAAGATAGATGAGTTTGGAGAGGAAACCAATTAGAGGTGGGATGACACCAAAGAATTTATTGATGCTAAGCTCAATATATGCAAGATTGGAAAACAATGAAAATGAAAAGTTGTCGAGCGTACCATTTACACTTGAACTTGTAAGGTTCAATCTAATGATGCTTCCATCAAGGTTGCAAGAAACTCCAAACCAATTGCAAGGACTTGCATTTGTTGAGCCACTATCATGGGGTGGAAGGACCCATGAAGGAATCGTTCGCACTTTGCTGGGTGGCTTTCCATGTGAATAGAGCATTAGCTTCTTCAGTAGAAGCAGAAGCAACATTAATGGTTGAAGAAAGGAGTGTGACAAACAGTACTAAGGAAAAAAGGCAAAGTAGTTTCTCTAAAGGTCCCATTGCCTTCTTTTTTCATTTTTTTCCCCCTTTGATGGATAACTAATGGGTGTTCAAGGCTCTAATTTATACACAATTTTTCTACTGGTTCCCATATATAGACTTTGAACTTGGAAGTCTTTGTAATTAGGTCCTGTAATTTTTTTTAAGGTAAAATGATGGTCAACTTGAGTCTGTTCCACACACTGAGGTTAAGTTATTTGTGTCTTAATTAGTGAAGAAAAACTAATCCCCTTATCTTTGATCTTAGGTTTGAGAAAGTTTTTGGAAAGAACCTAGCTACATGAATGTTGAACATACCTAATATTATATGGAAAAATAGAAGAAAAAGAGGTTGTGTGGAAAATCTAGAAATAAACTACTTTAGACACTTTGTTTTGCTTTTGTTGAAGTTTTAAAGAAATTTAATTTTGCCTCTCAAACTATCACTTAGGTCTCGTTTGGAAACATGCTATTTTAGTAACTTTTTGACTTTTTACGAAAAGATATGCAGAAAAGTAAAGAAAGTGATGCGACAACTTATAGTGACTTTTTCACTAAAATATATAGTTGACAAACGAGGCCTTAATATTCAATTTGACCTCTACCTTTACCTTCCGTCTAAATCAGACAGAATTTGCTAACGTGACATCGAAACTTTATCTAAAATTTTATTCCCCCCTCCTCCCCCCCCCAAAAAAAAAAACTATCTTCAAATATCAATTAGTAAATATATTAGAAAAATTAAATTTAAATATTTAATTAATAATTTGTTATTTCGAAAAGTAAGGAAAATAAATTTAAAATAATAATTTTTACAAAAAATTATTTAAAAATATAAAAAGCCTTATTTAAAATTGTCTCTTTAAGCCTCCAATTACCTTGAGCCGGTTCTAGGGAAACTAATTGAGTCCAACATTCCTAATTTATTCTCTCTCTTTCATAGCAATAGTAGCTAATTTATCCACTAGATAAATTACAACAGGACTGATCAATTAGTAGTAAGTTGAAAATTGAGTCAATAAAAATCTGTACTACAAAAATTGATTCAAAATCGAATAATTTAAATGTAAAATTGATATAATTAAAAGGATAGAGATTGAATTAATTTTTGAGTGATAATTTGGGGACTAAAATTTCCTCCCAATTTTTTGTCATTGTTGTGGTTGGGTTATTGGCTAGAGAAGTTTGTGATCTTACACATTTTTTACTGCTTTTGCAGATTTCTACTTAGTGCTGCAACTTGACCGAATTCAGCTTGAAGTGTAGACAGATTTTCTTGAATTAACATAAAATTTTTAGCTCATTGAGTTGTCCTAAACCAATATACTGCACTTTCTAAAAAAAAAGATAATTACAAATAGGGACCATATAAGAAAATTAATTTGAGTTATACACACCAATCATTTGAATTAATTACATTGCAGTATGATTAAATCTAACTGTATAAAAATAATTAGTATTTTATAGGTATATTTTATGTTTATTATGTGTAATTATATATTTTAAAAATAGAATTTAGATTTATGTAGTTCGTAGAGTCTCTACCTAGCTTTTGATTGAATTTATTTTGGAATTGATGAATTTTAATCCAAATCTTGACCAAATTAAAATTATATTACCGAACCTCTCAATTTTTTTACTCAAGTTGCTCAAGTTGGCACCCCTATTTCTGTTATTAGGTGATGATAATACTTTTGAAATCTGGCTTTGACTAGAGGTGTAATTTGGGTAGACTCAACGGTCCAAATCCTTTTATGGTTCGAGCAACATATTTTTTTAATTTGGTACAGATTTGGATAAAAATTCAGCCTTGGCTTGGGTAGAGATACTAGGCAACCTGAGCAACATATTAAAATAATCTAGACTGTTATCATCATATAAACAAGTAGGGTCGGGCTTAGGCTTAATAAAACAAGTCTGAATCACAATCAAGTTTGAGTGGAGTTAGCCAACTCTCAACATAAGTTGAGTTGGATTTGAACAACTTCTAACTTTGGCGTGTAAACTTCGGAATTGGTCTTTGTATATTCTCAAGTTAGTGATGTTTGTATTTGAGAAAAGTACTTAGGATGGTGTGAATGTATATACTAGTTATTATTTAGTGGGTTTGGTTTTATTATTTTTTTTAAATTGGATTTTTTGTTTTTCGTATTTTTTTGTTTTTAATGAATATTTTTTAAATTTTAACTAATTTTTTTTTTACTTTTTTAGATCCACCTTACTTAAATGTATCTAAACAGTAAAATATTTATGAAAAAATATTTTAAAAAATTAATAAATACACAAATATGAAAACTATACTGAATTTTCATTTTTGTTATTTTTTTTTTTTTTGCATTTAAAAAAAAATTCACTAAATACTATACTTTTTAATTATATTTATGTTAGGTGTATCTAAAAATTTAAAAGAAATGCTTAAAATATTAAAAAAATTCAGTGAAAATAAAAAATACATAAAACGAAAAAATAGAATTTTTTGAGAATAGAATTTTAAAAATTAAAACCAAACAGAGTAATTATTACTTTTTTAAAATATGCACTAAATCATTAATTTCAACATACATAAAAAGTATATATATATATATATATATAAAGAAACATGTTTATTTTATTAGTTATAAAAAATAACAACTATAATACAATCTATAGACGCTCTTTCATATTATTAAAAACATTTATGTTACAAGGGTAATGATATACAAATAAAAAATTCATAAATAATTTCTATACATAATTTTAATGACGTGGGGCTCAATATAAACTATTTACCTTAATGGCATTCATTTACCAAAATAATATTGTTACATCATTTTTGTGATGTTTCATAAATGAATATGATTAGCATTTTCCATGGTAGAATTGACATTTGAACTCCAAGTAATGTTTTTTTAATAAGTGTGATAAAGTAACTTGTTAACTCACTGTTAAAAAAAATAATAATAAATAAAATAAAATAAAAGGTTTAACTTGCTAACTCTTCCCCCACCTTCATTTTTTCTTTGTAGGTAAGGGCTTGTTACTGAGACTCGTGAAAGCTAATTTCTTTTTCATAGTTTGTCCAATTTTTTTTTTAAGGATAAAATACATTTAGTCCTTAAAGTATACATTTTTTTCTGACTTTGGTCTTTGAAATTTTACTTTGGTCCTTAAAATTTTAAGTTTGAGTCAATTTGGTCCAATTCCAAATGGACCATCTAAATAGTTAACGGAATAGTAATCAAATACACACATGGTTGTTAAAGTATGTGTTTTGTGTACTTTGGTTTGTAAAGTTTTAAATTTTGTCAATTTGGTATTGAAACATTGATAAAGAAAATAATATAACCTTATAATATTAAAGGACGAAATTGACAAAATTGATACTTTAAAGACTATAATAATACAAAATATATACTTTAGCTACCCTAGTTGAAATTTATAATTATTTCATAAACGATTTAAACAATCGTTTGGAATTGGACCAATCTGACTGATATTGACAGCTTTTGATAACCAAAATTATAAACACTACAAGAATAGTTGTCTATAACCACGTTTGTTAGACAACGTTTATTGAAAAACGCTGTGGTAGACATAAAATAAAATTAAAAGACACGCATTCCACTTAACAACGTGCTCCGTCTCCTCTCAGTCTCCATTTCTCTTTCTGTCATTCTGCTTTCTCTCTTCATTTTTCTGTCTTCTCATTTTCTGTCACCGTCGAAGGTCTAGGGTTTTCTCTGTCTCTCCTCATTCTCCTTGAGAGATTCACCAGGTTCGATTCCGATTACTTGTTCAGATCCATCGATTAGGAGTTCCATCGATTCTTGAATCGATTTGGTTGAAATTTCTTGACGATTTTTTGTTTTTCTTGATTCTGATTTTGATAATTTTGCAGAGGAAGATAGACCAGTTGAGTGAAGAAGGATCGGGATCGAGACAGGGACCGGGATCGAAATCGATCGAGTCACAGCAAAAGAAGGAGAGAAGATAGGTTGATTCACGGGAGTAATAGAGAAGATGATGGTGAGGACAGTTCAGAGGAGAGCGTGAATGATGAGGAGGACGATGACGATTACGATGGAGTTGCCACCTCATTGCCGACCTGGGGTTTGATTGGAGCTCTAGGGTTTTAAAGCCCCTCGAGACTCGTCATGGCTACTCCATTTCACCTGCCCATCACTGCTGCTCAGGTCCTCTCTCTCTCTCTATATATATATATATATTCACTCTCTCTCTAAAAAGATAGGTCTTTGGATTTCAGGTTGGGACGTACTTTGTTGGGCAGTATTACCAGGTACTTCAGCAGCAACCAGATTTTGTTGATGTTTGAAATGTTGGCACTTGAACAGACATTTGTGTAGCCCTGTTTTAAGTGGAAATTTGTAGTGTTGTTTTTGTGTGGTAATATTGGTCCTTGGTTTTGGACTTCCTGAATTGTTTGAAGTTTAGTGTGTTGCAAGATGGTCTTGGTTTAATAGTCAATTTATTTTTAGTTAGTCCTTTTAGCCACACTTTTGTCTTCATACTAAAGTAATCTGCATCTTTTTGCAGGTTCTGCCAGGGAAGATGCTTGATTTTATTGATGCTCCTGTTCCATTCATTGTGAGATTCTGATCATTTTTCCTTTATTTTTTTTTCCTTCTCCAAGTTGAATGTAGGTTTCTGACATTATTCACTGTGATTTTTGACCTCAATTCTTAATTTTATGCCATTCTTGAATTTATCAAGCTCAAAACTTGATTAGCTTGTCCTACTGATGTTTTAAATTGATAGATAACAATCTCATGGTTTGCATGAATTTTTCTATCAAGAATGGTTTTAAATTGCCACATCAGGCACCTTAATGTATCAGTTGTGGTTTAACGGTACCATGAATATTGGTCAAGGCATAATGGGAATCAGCTAAAGTCATGAGTGCCTTTTTTACTGCATACAAAGCTCTAAATGATCATTAAGTGATATGTTT